GGCCTTCGCCGTGGTGTAGCCCCGCTCCTTGATCGTCTGATTCTCCAGCCAGCCTGCCAACCTTTGCAGTCGGTAGTCGGACTCCTTCCCGTTCTCGTCCGCTGTCGTGCGGACCCACTTGCAGTAGTCCGGCTGGCTCGTCATCAACTCCCCGTAGGTCAGCGCCGAGTGTCGACCAAAGCCGACTGGGTCCATGTCGGTCGCAGGTGAGAGGTCGTAGATCTTGCGGATCGCGGCATTCTGAATCTGGCGGATGGTCATGTTGGGGGATATCATCAGGCCTAGTTTGTCCTCGGCATAGGTCACAAGCTCGGCCTTCTTTCGGGATGCCTTGTTCATCTCGGTCATCATGGTTGCGAGAGGTGGCCGCGTGCGACCACTGGGAATCTCCTCGCCGAGATCCTCCATCACCTCGTAGATCCGAGCCTTGATCTCTGCTTTGCCCCACTGGCTGGGGCACTCCTCTCCCAACTTCTGCAGGTGTGTCTGCAGTTGTCCCTTGTTCATCTTCTCGATGGCGCCTTTGGTCACGGGTGCCGTCGACATGACGTTGCTGAACAGGGGATCCGCCTGAAGGAGCTGCTGCCTGTCTTGGACCGGTGCGTGCTCCGGTGTGATGGTCTGAAGGCTCTCCACTGGTGTGTAATGCAAAACGAACCCGTCTATCCTGCTTATCACACACACTAGGTTTCGACATCTCAAAGTCTGTACATGTAACATTAACACTCTGCCCTGCATCTGCACGGTCCTCCCATTTCCCGTCAGGGGCCGGTGATGGGAGGTGTTGTCCCTACTCTTGCGGCAGATGCACATCCAGGCCTGGAATGCGCTTCCCGGCCTTGAAACTGCAATCCCACCAGTTCTCGGTGAGCGGAAGGAGTTGATGTCCCGTTTGGGACCTAGCCAACTTGAGAACTCTGGAATCATCAAGTGCCCTGAAAACGGCCAGATCGCTATCAAAGTCTATGACAGCTTTCAGCCGTCGCAGCGTGTCTACTGAAAGCAGCACGGGCCCTGAACCCTGCCCCAAAGCATGCACACTGAGCTCACCTTCCTGGGCACCTGCTTGGACACCAAGCTTGATAGTTGAAAGGCATCTGTTCTCTGTCGAATTTCCGAATCCGAAGAGAGGACGATTGTCCCGATCAACCCCTTTAAGCTTATCCTTCCCCCACTTCTGGTTGTTGATGGCAAGAATGTTCTCGATGGCTGTCACACTCCCAAGCGTCTTGGTGGCACCTCCGTCCACCACAGCGTAGCCTGCCTTTACAGCTTCCTGCGTGGTCATGGGTGTTTCGGCTGACCATGCTGCCTGACACTCGGGCTCATCCAAGTAGTACGTGACCGGATCCTCCGACTCCGGTGCCGTGCAGAAACAGACGAAAGGCGCGGCCTCCTCTGCGCTGTTGGCGGTATGGGATCCTGACGACTTGGATGGACAGTTTGCCGCTCGATGACCAATCTTGCCGCATGCCAGACACGTCATTCGACTATCATCTGGCACATGTCCCGTGCCGCGCCCGCTGGAGGGCGGCACCTTGTAATACTTCCGGGATTGCTTGACCTGGAGCTGCTTCATACGGGCCTCGCGCAAAGTGCGCTTGGCCTGGGCCGCGACCACCATGGCCGCCTGCGCCTCCTTTTCCGCATCCTCCCAAGCTACCAAGCCTTCCTCGGTCCACTCATCACGGCCTCCGTCGGATAAGGCCCCATCGTCCCCATCTGAAATCTCCTCTCCGAGGAAGCCGCTGGGCTTGTGGTGTTGATCGTGCCTCCGGACTTCCGTCTCCGGAAGCTGGTTGCGTAGTTCCTGAGCCACCTTGGTGAAAGCGAAGTCGCCTGCCAGTGCCGTTTGCACTACATTGCGCTCTGCCAAGCTCAATCCTGCATCTTGCAGCAGCAACCATCCTTGAACGAAATCTGGGAGGATTTCCGGCGCTGCCTCACACACGGTTTCCCGTGAGTACCATTCCTGCTGCTTCCACTGGTACGGCCACTCTTGGCCCCCGTAAGAGTAGCCTCCCCAGTCCCACGAGGATCCCCACCACGAAGACCAGCCGCTATAACCAGATCCCCAGTTATCTCGCCCACGGCTGCCCTCATGCTGGGTCGCGGTAGACGCCGTTGTCGTCTCGTTCTCCTCATCCCCGTGGTTCGTCTGGGAGCCCGTCTCGGAGGCGTCGATGCTGCTGCGCCGGCTTTGGGAAGCTTCCCACTGCGGCTGCCATCCTGAGCCAGCTGAAGTGGTCTTCGGGGCTGTCGCGGCGGTCGGCGTGACCCGTTGTAGGGCCTGACAGGCCCGCATGTATGATTCTGACTTCCGGGTCACATACTCGTTGATTGTTTCCTGCGGCCGACGCTTTGTACCCTTGAAGTACTTGCTCAAAAACTCCCCAAGCTCAGCCAGCTGTGGCTTTCCCAGTTGTTGACGCAGATGGTTCATCAGCTTGCGAACCCCACCAGAATAACTCACCCAGTCGGGTGGTTTCCCCAGTACCAATCTACGAGCAGCTCCCTGCAGCTCGCTGATAAGTCGAGGGGCACATGTTGCACGCTTGTGTGGTGCAATGCCTTGTTCCCATACTAGACATTGCTCCTCGTAGGCCACAAACGTGGCTGCCTCCCCGGACCAGATTGGCACTCCATCCTTGGTGCGGGTCTGATTGCTCGTTGTCTCCATGCGGCCTGGCAGCGTGGAGTCTCACTTTGCCCTGGATCGTCAATCAGGAACCGGTGTCTCTATTGCACCGGCTCCGCTACCATGCGAGCGATCAAGCCCGCCTGGTGG